AAAATCCTATCCTTGAAACAAAAGAGCAACAAAAAACACCTGTGAAGTTGAAGGCTGTGATAATAAGTGCTGTGGGCACTGAGAGCTTGAACTAACATCTGTCTCTTTCCAGTCCATTGGTTGCGATCTTCGCCAGCCTTTAGCCGTTTTTGGTGCCATTCGTGGGAAACACGTGGTGGGACAGGACATTTGAGGCGTTAATAGATCAAAATGTGGGCTGCCAATCTGAATGAATAATTATGAATAACATTCTGGTTTAATAAGCAAACGATGGAAGACCCTTTACGCTTATATTTTAATCATATCTGCAACTGCACAGCCTGATTCTTCAAGGTACGTAGCTGATAATTTTTCCTGCTGGCTTGAAAATGCTGCTTTACCTGGTGATTAAACTGTTGTCGATCCTAGCATTCAGTTTTCCTGGAGAGGTCATAGTCACAACTGTTTTTTCAACCGAAGCACAGAGGGAGGAAATGACTTATTAACCTAAATAAGAAGTGGCTGAGAATAAATAATACTTGTGAAGCTGAGGGTTGCCCCAGAAAATGCGTTCGTGCAACGGGGTTGTAAATTCGTGTAACGGGGTTCACAGGACTCCAGTTCATAGCTTGCATTTCTCTTTGATCCATCACTGCTTCAGGCTGCAAAAGCAGACAAATTACACTTATCACATCGAAACTGTAATGTCAATAACTGTTCATAATTTTACATTGGCTGGCCATCAAAAAATATTGATCAAAAAGTGACCGGTAAATAAATAACAAGGTTATCAGGAAAATACAACGGTTATGCATTTTTGCAGTAAGCAGCTTTCCGCCCATTGTGGGCGTGACGCACCAAAGCATACTAAATCCTTTTCACTTCATTATGATGGTTTTCTGACACATTTGTCAAATGATAAAACGAAGTTTAATCGCAGATATGTCGCAATGCATGCCGCATTTGGGACATTCTGGTCGAAGTTGCGACTTCAGTACCACTTTCAAGGTCAACAAGTGGAAGAAAGAGAAAGTTGGGTTTTTATACGTTTTTTTGCAGCTACGCAATGCAGAAAACGTATATTGACGAGAGGTTGTCTGTGTGTGTTTGTGTCTGTGTGTTCGTCTGTGCCGATTTTTCATCTCGAGACCGACAAAAGCTACAGGGCTGAAACTTTGGGGTAATTATCTACATGCATGTACGGGCCCCCATCCCCAAAGTGGGCGGCCCTACCCGCGTGGTACCCGCGTAAAAGCCCGCCAAAATTTTTTTAGGATAGGTTGATAACTCGCGAACCAGGAAAGCTAGAAAGCTGAAATTTTAAGAGAATGTCCCCCGTCCAAGTATATACTAATCAGCTCAAACCCAACCCCCGGGGTAAGCGTAATACCCGCGTACGGGCCCGCTAAAATTTTTCCCGCTTAGTTTCATAACTCGTGAATCAGGAAAGCTAGAAAGCTGAAAGTTAAAGGGTGTGTTCCCCGTCCAAGTAGGTACTAATGAGTTCAAACCCAACCCACGGGTAAGCATGGTACCCGCGCATGGGCCTGCCAAAATTCTTCCGTGTAAATTCATAACTCGGGGATCTGAGATGCTAGAAGACTGTAACATTAAGAGGGCGTTTCCCATCCACACTGGTCTTAGCGAGATCACGCCCAGCCCTCGGTCATGCGTGGTACCTAAGCACGGGTTCAGCAAAGTTTTTCTCGGGTAAGCTCATAACTGGAGAACCTGTAAAGCTAAAAGACTGTAGTTTTAGGAGGATGTTCCCTGTCCAAGTAAGTCTCAGCGAGCTTAAACCCAGACATCGGGCATACGAGGTACCGGAGTGCTGGCTCGTGAAAGATTTTTTCCAGTAAATTGCTAACTCAGGAGCCAAAAAAGCTAGGGAGCTAAAATTTTAAGGAGGTCTTTTCTGCCAGTTTTGGCAGCCAGTCTTCATTTGTTTAGCTAGAAGGATTTGCCAAAAAACCGATGTCGGTAGCGACAAAAACTGTGGGGAACTATGCAAAAAACGCATCTTCGCACAAGCAGCCCCTGCGTTGGCCACTTATTGTGTCTAGATTAGCAGCTGGCCGGATTTGTTTTCTCTGGTCCCCACAGTTTCGGAGTCGAATCAGTTGGACAGACAAAAGTCACACACACACACACACACAAACAAACAAATGTGCATTCTCGCTGAAATGCATCCTTGTATTTTATGCAAAAACCTTTCCTGTAAAATTATTGTTAGCTTCCATACAGTCTTAGCTAATTATTAAAGGTAAGAGTAACCTGTAGCTAAGGGAGTCATCACTTTAAATCCATATTTGATAGCTTCCTTATCTGTAAGTCATTTGGAGGTCCGCTAATTTAAATCATACCAGTGATAGTGGCGCCGTCAGAGTTAATGGGTGCTGCGTTCGATGGAAAGGGTTTCTGCGTTTCGACTGTTCTTCTTGCATATCCCTGTTAGACTGTAATATCTTTGCTCTTGGAATTGCCCCCTGCAAATTACAGTATGTCAATTTTCGTGCCGTTAAGTACCTTAATAATTCTTCCAGAAGTTGTTTAAAATGCTTAAGCGAAATAGCTGGTAGCAAGACAGAGACAACATCAAAAGCCCAATGAGCTAAGAAACATAATACAATAGCAACACAAGCGGCAAGTTTTCAAAAAGTGGAAAGTTTTTATTTTCTGGAAAAGAAAAAAGCTCGGTAACATCTGTGTTAACTGCATTTAACGTCCAAGAATAGCAAGACCTTCCGGTCACGTTTAGGATGTTACCGGAATTCTTCCACACATCGAGGGCAGGTGTGCCAGGTTTTTCAGTCTTAAACTGCGCTCTCTAGTTAGAGCACCCACCACCTGCTCTATATATGTGCACCATTTGTTCGGGGATGCCAAGAGTGGTCGTTTACTTCCTCACTTTGTTGCACTGACATTTCACTTCACTCATTTGACGGAAATTTCGATGTTTATATGGTCACTAAGAGGCACGCCAATCATCCTTCGCTCCACTGCTCGCTTCATCGTAGCTAATGTTCATTCGCCCACTTTCATCAGTTTGACATATCGTATCGCACGATGTGAAAGGCGAAGGCATTCGTGTGTAGCTCGATTGGTAGCACGCACTCATAGCTGGTAACTTCTCGATGGCATTTTCTACTAAGAAGTGTTGATAAGTAATCTGAACGCAATTTTGACGCATGCCTTGAGTCAATAACAGCCTATCATTCGAACGAAGGGTGAATTCTCGTAGGCTGTTCCCTCACTCGCAGAATCGAGCGTTCAAAGTTTGGCTTGAGAGCTGCATTGCTTGTCACTACAGCATTTTGAACAGCACAGACACATATAATATTCGATATCCAAAAACACAAATTATTTGACCGTTTTAACTCCCTTCCTCTCGTACACCCTCCTCAATCCTCTCCCTTTCTTTCTTCACTTCACTCTTTTTGTGTGGATTGGATGCTGCTGAGAAGTGGCGTGCCTTTAGTAAAAAATAAACTAGCAGCTTCACTGACTTCCTTAAACTGTACTACCAACGCTCTGCACAGAGCTGCAGCTTGACGTTGAGCCCATTGATCACTAAACCGCGGCTGCGATCTCGATAAAGCAACGTTCTGAAAAAATGATGGGCAGTTAGAAAAAAACAAAAGCGTATTAAATGGCCGCATTTATATTTATTAGCATATTAAAAGTTCCAAAGACTTATTTCCCCAACATATTTCTTTTCATACGTTTTTGCTCTCAGCAAAATGCGTATTGTCGAGAGGCTGTCTGTGTAGCGCTGCTACAGCCAGCAAAACGCATATTGTCGAGAGGCTGTCTGTGTGCGTGTGTTCGGAAAGCGAGTGCATTTTGTCACCCAATTTCATCTTAGCAACCAGGGAAGCTGGGAGCCTGAAACTTTGGCTATGTGTTCCTACCCCGTGTGTCATCTTCCCGTTTTACGATCTTTCCCCATACGCGCTTAGTCCCCGCGTACGGGACCCCCAAAGAAATATGTTGGCGCTAAACGATTTCGCGAACCAGGCAAAGTAGAAAGCTGAAACTCTGTAGGGGTATTCTCCATGCAAGTGCGAGATAAAAGTTTTAAATTCAGCTCTCTAGCTCCACAGCCATAGCCTCAAACAGCTCCTGAACTCAAAAATCGTTAGCAACTCGGACCTGAGCCGTAATTGCGTACGCATGTGTACGTGTATTTTTAGCAACTCGGACCTGAACCGCAGTTGTTTATACAAATGAACATGGATTTTTTGAAAAACGATCGTTCGTGCAAAGTTTCAATTTTTAATGAACTGAAAATTTTCATATTTTCAAAAAAATCTTTCGCAGCTCAGACCTCAATCGCAATCGTGTATGTAAATGAAAGTGGATTTTTTGACAAACGACCGCTCGAGCAATGCTTTCATTTTCTAGTGAACTGGAAATTTTGCATTTTTTCGAAAAATTTGCATTTGTCATTTTTTCACAAAGCGAGCATTTGCCGAAAAAACGACCGGACTTCATGCAAAAAACCAGTAATCATGCATCTGGATGTCCGTGCGGCTCAATAATGCACCACTTTCGTCCCAACTGGCGCCCTTCATCCTGTATGCCGGAAGGGGCCAAAGCATGGCCAATATGGGCCCAAGTGTTAGGCTACAGCGTAAGGATCATTTTTGCTAATAGCGTTCAGCGAGTTTAGTGCAAAAATGCATCATCACACCGGAGAGCCTGGTGCGTTCCAGCCGCGGTTACAAATTAGCATTATGCAAAGTTTTTACTGCAAACAACCCTCATAAAATGAATGAGATGACGCAGAAGCTCAGCAAACGATAAGGTATTTCTGAAAAACAAGGCACTGAATACGAAAGGGATATTAAGTGCAGGCATGACAAATAGACAGCGTTGACTTGGAAAGATAGCCTGGTCCTGGACAATAAGTAAATATGCGCCGCAATTTTAGGCAGAAATTGAGGCTTTACATAAATGCTAGTAATCGTTATTAAAATTCACATAATTACCAATAGCCATTATTGAAACCCAAATAACTGTTAACGCTGTTGTTATTTCTCTGGTACCACCAGGTTTCCTGCTATCACTGCAAATAACATAGCCAGTATGAAATCAGGGAAAGAAACCTCTGTGAGGCTGTGACCTGCATAACGTTGCACCTGCAAAGCACTGAAGTTCCGCGGCCGATGTTCCAGGCTGTCTTGTTGATTATCATCACTGTCCGAAGTTTCTTCGTTTGTTAAATCAACAAGCACAGGTCCTGAATCAGCCATTTGTCTCGGCATCTGTGATAACACCGTCTGAGTTACCAGTGGCCATTGCAGCATTCCCCTGATTAAACTTTCCAATAGAGCAGGAATCTCAAGATTCGAGTTATGAATTCGCAGGGATTGTTCGGGCAGCTGCTGTGCCGTAGGATTTTCTGGATAACCGTCGTCTTCTCCCTCTTCGCTTTCCGAATAATCCTGAGTTGCGCGCAAATCACTGGATCCTGGGAGACGTTTGGCCGCATATTCCTGCAGTGAAAACAGATATGGTTCAGGATAGTAAATTGGTTGCTTAGCTCGAAGCAGTAACTGCAACTGAGTTTGATATTTTTCAGGATTCTGAAGAAGAGGACCAGTTTGTCTAGAAACGCTTGCTTGTGATGGATTGTCGGGATGTGCATAATCGAAAGGATTTTCCGACTGAGAATGGTGACTATCCGGCATACTCCACCGACTGTGCGATACATATGGTGGTTTCGAGCTGCCGCGTGCGTTGCTCGTGGCACTCTGAAACCAAAATTTCTTTTGCAACTTGAAAATCCGTTAGTATTTCGAAAGAGTTTGAAATTGCAATTTGCTACATTTTCTGTCAGTTACACTTTTAACGCTTTTCTGCACTGCTTATGGGATACAGAAGTTAATATTAATGAGCGGTTAGCTGTGCAGCCAGTCTATCCTAGCCACTTAGGCTAATAGCTGCATCGCTTGATGGTCAGCAGTGCTGGCGATGCTGGACATCCATTTCGTTCTGGAAGGAATCAGTAGCTCAGCAGTTCCCCAACAGAAGCATTCTAGCAGGGCTTAAACCGTTCGAGACGTCAGTCGTGTGTTTTAGAGCATCACCAAACAGTTCCGGATGCTGCCACTTTTAGATCACTATGAAGTAAATTATCATCTAGGAGATTCCACAATAAACGCTTACCAAATTGTTCTCATCGGATACACAAATGAATGCGAAGAAAAGAAATGCCCGGATCATAACTGTTATTGCATTGAATTATACCTAAAAGCCGCTGTTAGGCTTAATGGTGCAAATCAACAAGTCAGGTTTATGCAAAAAGAGAAGCAAGACGAAAAGCGCCACCAGGATTTCTTGGGAGCGAAACAGCTTTTGTTTTAGAAAAAAAATCTGGATCGAACTGTACAGCAGCATAGCAGAAGTAAAGTGACTGACGATACTGCATATAAAGGATTGTTGTGAATATGATTAAACGGGCCCTGACTTGATTTAAAACTGGCCATATGCGTAGTATGGGTAGAGAGAGTCTGTATTATTGACTATGCGTTATTGGAAGCGCATGATGGTTTTCGGTCTGCTGAACAATGCCCTTCGAATAATGTTTAGTCACTGTCTTCTGCTGCAAAAAGCTTTAAAAGATATTAAAACCTTGCACTACTCACTTTCAGTGAGAGGTAAAAGCTCTTGGAAGTAACCCAATTTGTACCACATTACAAACAGCTAGAAGTATTTCAGTACAGCTGAATTTTCACATAAAAACGCCGGGCGTATGTAATAGCCCCGGACCAAAGAACTTGGCAAAGCTGCATTCGGCGTATAGAAGCATCCTAACAATATCATTAACAGGAAATCCAATACTGATAATCCGAGAGGTTTTGGTATTCTTGGTGTGCGTGTACGGAAATATGGATCGTGCGTGGTAAATTCATTAGTACAACTAGGCTTGAATGAGGACAACCTTGAACTGTAGTTCTAGCAGCGATAGTCAGCATTTGTTGCGGTAACTGACTTTGGGATTCACGGCAATTCCTAGGATTTCCTATCATCGCCCTGTTTTCAAGCAATCCTGGGAAAAGAAGCGATCGATAGTTTTGCCAGTAGATAGTTGCAGTTAGGACTTGCTGCTACTCTGGCTACTTCCTAGAGTCGTTGCCTTTCACGGGCAGTAGGCGGGAAGGGGGGGGGTGGAAGCAGTTGACTTTTTTACTTTTTGCATTTACAAAAAATTACGGTTTAGAGATTTGTTGTCCAACAAATTATTTGAGTGCTTTTTTTTTCACCAGTTGATGGAATTTTTTTAGCAGATTATAGGAGATTGGTTATAATCTCAGCAATCCTGTTTTCGAGCAAAAAAATGAAAGGAGGGAGAGAGGGTGGAGAAAATATGGCGTAAAATCCAGCTTCCCCTTCCAAACCCCGGAATAAAAGCAATAGAGCAGAAATCAACTTTGAATTCCTCTGCAGTATAATTCAGTTCATCGTCGTCTTATGATTTTTGAAAACGTTGCTTACTGGGCTAAAAACTTAAGCTTTTCTCTAACGCAAGCAAATGATCTGAAATTATCACTAAAACTGCGTTTTGTTCTGATTCAAAGCAAATACTGAG